ATTCGGCCAAGGAGATGTACATCACGCCGGCGGCCGAACAGTTGGTTGGAGCTTCTCGACACGTCCAAGATCCGGCAAGAGTCGCGTCGCCAGAGCAACACTCAGCGGCACTGACGCGACAACGACCACTATCGCGACACCTATCTCAGAAGACCCATGTGAAATGAGACGATGCCAATTGCTACATGCAAGAAAGCAAGCTTTCTAAATATGTATATTTTTAAAAGCTGTAACGCTTTTCAAAATTATGTATTTTGAAAGCGAAGCTGCTTGTAATGTAGGAATGGGCAGCGTCGAACCGCGCTAATTGCTCGTTTTGGAGTACAAAACGTGGGCTGGAGGTCATTTCCCTCCACCCACGTTTCTCATTTTCAAACGGTTTAGCCAATTTTCCCACCCACCCCCCCCCCCTCAGAAACAGGATAGCCTAGTCAGAATAAGCACACCAATGTAATGCTATTGCTTGGATTTGAATTGTACTAAACCCGTTTGAAATGAGACGATGCCAAGCAAGCTTTCTAAATATGAAGATTGGTTAATTGCAGCAGAGATCCACCTAGGCCTCCCTGTCCCACACCTTCGTATCATGGAATCAGCCTAACCATGTTCTTGCAACCACACCTTCACTGACCCCACCATTCCTAGCCATGCACTTCGCTGTCCTGACCTTTACGAGTCGACTCATATCCACGACGATGTGAAACACGAAGTAGCAAGGATAGCTAGGGAGCTAGAGCATCGCACCATGCTATCGGATGCCATTCCTGATGTTACTTGCCTTGATCCTTGCGCGGGAATCAAATGGTTGTTAGATGTTTCCGTAGCCAACCTGTAGCTACCATCCACTCCACCAACAGTTGCGCACACAGTTGGGCTAGCATGAAAGAAGCGAGAAACAGAAAAACAGTCACCCTACGCTTCAGCATTGCGTGCCCGACCTGCAGTCAAACTTATCCCCCTTGTGCTTGAGACATTCGGAGGCTTGGGCAGCAACTTCAATGTCAAAGTAGCTAGGTAAAACAGGAATGAAAGGAAAAGGGGTTTCACTAGCAAGCAGTTGGGATACAAATAGCAAACCCTAACTAGGCTGTACTTACTATAGAATGCCCAACTACAGACTAGACAAACATCACATTCTGACACACCCCCATAGGCAAAATGGGGTATAATCAGCACAGCAAGCAGTCACATAATAAGTTCACAAGCACAAGCAAAGCTAGTGGGAGACATAGAAAATTCGTGAGGAGGAGGAGGGACTGTGAGAGGAGAGGAGATTGGAGGCGGCGGCTGAAGCTGCTGGCACACGGACTACTAGAGCAATTGGCACACGGGCTACCGGAGCAAGGGCCCCGGACTACTGGAGTAACTGGCTCCACGGCTAAGACGAGCGGCTGGAGCAACGGACCCACGGACGACTGGCGCAACGGGCTCGCTGGCTACCGGAGCAAGGGCATCCGGGCTACTGGTGCTGCTGGCTCCACAATGGCTACCTCCGTTCAACCTCCCCCACTGTCGCAGACCCCCTTTCAGACACCCCCTTATGCACTCCTAGCTCCACTCCCACGGCACCCCCCTAGCGCCACTCCCTCGACTCCCACACATCCACCCCCCTCAGCGTTAGCTGTAGTAGTGGGAGACGGAAGAGAAGGAGGAGCAGGGAACGGCTCACACAACCGCCACCCCCATGCCCGCCACCCCCATACACGCGTAGGAGGGAGATGAAGGAGAAAGGGGAGGGGGGGGGAAGCAGCCACGCGGCGCACGGGGTCGAGGGGCGGCGCGCGGGTCCCCGGGGGCGCCGCGACGGGCAACGGGGGGACGGCGCGGGTCCCCGGGGGCGCCCCGACGGACGACGGGGACGGCGCGATAGGCCCCAGGGGCGCCTCAACGGACGACGGGGACGGCGCGATAGGCCCCGGGGGCGCCGCGACGGACGACGGGGGCGGCGCGCTGGTCCCCGAGGGCACCGCGACGGGCAACGGGGGGCCGACGCGCGAGTCCCCGGGGGCGCCGCGACGGAGCGTGAAACTGCCGCGCGCGCCCGGGGCGTGCGGCTAACAGGAAATCGCCACGCGCCCCGAGCGCGTGGCGGGCACAAAACCGCCACGCGCCCCGAACGCGTGGCAGGAAGAAAAAACGTCGCGCGCCACGGGGCGCGAGACAGACAGTACAGCAACGAAAGCAGGTGGGCCCACAGGCCAGGAGCGTGGACGCTCTGATACCATACCAAAGTAGCTAGGTAAAACAAGAATGAAAGGAAGAGGGGTTTCACTAGCAGGCAGTTGGGATACAAATAGCAAACTCTAACCAGGCTGTACTCACTATAAAGTACCCCACTGCTGACTAGACAAATATCACATTCTGACATCCAAGACTTTCATACGCAACTGAATAGTTTATCCGACAACGGTTTGACAGGCCACTTTTCCTGACCTCCCTTCTTCGTGTTGCTCTGCCTCAGTCACCCACTTATGAAAGAGATCGCTCCCTCACCCCACTTGTTCCCTCCTAGTGGCGTGCCACTGTATGCTAGAAGCTAGAGTGTCAACTTACTCTAAATTGAGAGAAAAACAAACGAGAAGCATCGAGGGGGTGTGCGTGAGTGACCTTACTCAACCCCGCGCAGCACATTTCCCAATGTGCGGTCGGGGTTGGGATGCATTGGTGCTTCACATTTCGCCCCTCGGTGCCTTTCCCCTGCTAACCCAACCGCTCCTATTCAATCCTCCCCTTCTACACCCCTTTGCAACAGCTACTTCGCTACATTCTACATCCCTACACTAGTTCTACTATACATGCATTAAGTGCATATACGGTTATAACCTCAAGTACTTCCTAGACCAGCACCCTACTGTTATTGCATATGCATTCAGTGCAAATGCGGTGATAAGGAGGTCGACGAGCCCAGCACCGCCGAGGTGGAACACTGACGTGCGTGCGGGACCCGCTAGCCTGGAAGGGGCGGGCTCCGGAGCACGTCTGCCGCCCCGCAAACCCATCACGAAAGTGAACTGGCCCCCACGTTACCGGGTGGGGGCGGTAAACTGGCTACCCTCCGCGAGGGGCCTGGTAACCTTAGGGCAAAGGCAGACCTCATCGTAGTCTTGCCCGCGACGACCTAGTTACTCTCGCACACTCCCCCGACGGGCAGGCGAGGGCCCGGCGAAATCCGGGGGCTCCCCTCGGGACCCTCGACCATTTCGCGACTTGCTGGAGTGATGACAAGTGTTTGCCCAGGGATGACGCTACATGCCAGGCCCGTGTAAACGCTGCATGCCACGAGACCCCACGCCGACCGAATCGAGGGGATGCGCAACGACGAGCATGCGCGAGGACGAGATCCTCCTTGTTCTGAGCCACCACGGCCTCTGGTCGTGGGCACCGCCTTTGTCTGCGTCTGTCGTGCCTTAACTTTGTGGACGGAGGCACCGTTGCCTCATTTTGCTCTTCCCATTTCTCCTTTCACCCTTTTTAGCTCTGCGCCTTCCTCCGTCCTGCTCCTAGCCTATAGTGTTATGACTTAGCATTCATGGAGATAGACAATGGCGCCACTCACCAGACGCCGACTTCGGAGGACTTCCCCTTTTATTTCAACATGGGCCGCGGGCTCACCCTCACGTTTCACGAGAAGGACTTCATAGAGCTTTGCTTCGCACTCGAGCTCAAATCAGTCTTTTGTACCAATCATTAAAGGCGGCATCCATGTTCTTTGTAGCCCTTTTGGTGCTTGCCGACTTAGGAACTATATTTACAACTGCGATGATGTTATTCATTGATGCGCGTGAAGGGGTTGGCGTGTGAGGCCGCAATTGATCGCAGCGGGTATGCTCGCCGCAAATCGTATTCGCCGTAGTCCGTCGATACCGCCGGCTGTCAACCTTGAATGCGTTTACGAAAAGCCTGTCTAGTTTGCATCGTTAGGTTGCGCCGACGTTTTGTAGATAGTGATGGCAATCGGCGTGTTAGAGACGTTTGTCTTGAATGTTTTGTTTCTCTTTTACTGGATCGCCGTTGTCGTCTTGATGGCTTTCGGAGTTCTAGGTCGAAGGCGTCGGTGTGTTGTCTTCTCCGACCGGTTTACAACCGGTCAAATGGTCTAGTTTTTGCGTCGACTGCGAACAGTAGGTTTGTTTGGCGGCGCTATCACGACAAGAGGTACGTTATGAGCGCATCCCCGTCAGCGTTTCTGGCCGCTAGAGGGTCTACTTTGTCCCTTTTGCCAGTCTCAAGTTCGCTATACGGAACCACTGCTCACACGTCCCCACCTCCCTTCGGTACATGTGACTTCGCGAAGCCCCGCCAAAATTGAAGCCGTGGATCATAGGGTGCGGCCGTCTTCGCGAGGCGATTAAGAAGACGGACCTCACCTATTTTGGTTCTGTGTTTGACGCCGACATTGCCGTCCTACCTATTATCACGACATGAGAAGGCGTGATGTTTCGTTGTCGTTAACGTTCGGTGTTTGAAATCGGTGTTAAACATGTGCTGGAAAGGGCCACTTCCCGGTGTTCACTGCAGCGTCGTTACCACTCTGCGGCCCTGAGAACTGCTGAAGGCCTCCGGCGACGAGAGCATGACATCGTTTAGCTACCTCGACCCGAAGACTGAGAACCATTTGCATCCGTCAGAGGCGGTCGTCGTGTTGAGGTAGGCATGTTTGTCGTGTTAAGGTTGTTTCATCGGCGTGCTCACTAATTCTTTTATGCACTGTTGTTGAAGTTTTTTCCGTAGGTATGTTCTGGCCGAGCTAGGACGACGTGGCAGGACCTCGAAGTGGGCGCCTCCCTCTACCAAGGTCGAGGGGGCAGGACTCACCCGTTGCAATGAACGCCCCCATGCGCAACGTGAGTTTATGTCGACCTAGTAGCCTTGAATTGGTCGTTTAACTGTGTTTGCCGGACATTGTAAAATACGAGCAAGTTGGCACCACCTTGCATACCGTGAGCGCGTTCGGATGGGCGGTCAAAGAGCGTAAAACCCTGTGCAAGTCATGTGCACCGATGGCTGCTGAGAGGAGACACAGGTTGAAGACACTCAAATCGGATCTAGTGGAGTACGTCCAGAGATGCGTCGTTGAGAGGCGGTCGGCGCCGGCCAATCATCCTACAGGGCCAAGCACCGCCCCCCTGTACGACGATAGGATCAAAACAAAGACGGCGCCCCAAGCGGGGGTGATTGGCCTGGCGGAGTTTAGCGCGCACGAAACTATAACAAGCGGGCATGATGGTGGCGGTGGCGAGGCCGACTTGGTAGGAGGAGAGGAGCGGAGGGCAGGGTCCGATGAGGAGTCAGAAGAGAGATCAGAGCAGTCGGTGGAGTTAGAGTCTGAGTCACAGTCCGAGGAGGAGGAGGAGAAGGAGGAGGAGGAGGAGGAGGAGGAGGAGGAGGAGGAGGAGGAGGAGGAGGAGGAGGAGGAGGAAGAGGAGGAGGAGGAGGAGGAGGAGGAGGAGGAGGAGGGGGAGGAGGAGGGGGAGGAAGAGGGGGAGGAGGAGGAGGGGGAGGACGGGGAGGAGGAGGAGGGGGAGGAGGAGGAGGGGGAGGAGGAGGAGGAGGAGGAGGAGGAGGAGGAGGAGGAGGAGGAGGAGGGGGAGGAGGAGGAGGAGGAGGAGGAGGAGGAGGAGGAGGAGGAGGAGGAGGAGGAGGAGGAGGAGGAGGGGGAGGAGGAGGGGGAGGAAGAGGGGGAGGAGGAGGAGGGGGAGGAGGAGGGGGAGGAGGAGGAGGGGGAGGAGGAGGAGGGGGAGGAGGAGGAGGAAGAGGAGGAGGAGGAGGAGGAGGAGGAGGAGGGGGAGGAGGAGGAGGAGGAGGAGGAGGAGGAGGAGGAGGAGGAGGAGGAGGAGGAGGAGGAGGAGGAGGAGGAGGAGGAGGCAGAGAAGGAGGCTCATGGAGCTGAGGCGGACTCCGATGACGGTCTGCTGGGAGCGGACGAGCAGGACCATGGCGGACATGTGGAGGCCGACCTGACGAATGTCGTACAATGGGGTGCTGGACGTGTCCCGATGTCGACCGGCGAGGCAGGAGCAAATGTGGCATCGGCTGGAAATGAAGGGGGAGACAAGTCTCGTATAAACATGCAGGCGCATGGTTATCCAGCATCGACCACTCTTGTAAGTCGGCATTTGCCCACGTGAAGCGACAAGAGGAGGAGAACAGGAAACTCAGAGACGAGAATGCAGTGTTGCGGTTGGAGCTGGTTGCCGAGAGGGAACGGACGGAGGGGTTGATGGCGACGGCGGCTGAATGCCTCGAGAGTATCAAGTTGCTGACCGGACGGGCCGCCGTCGCAGAGCATACGGTGGGAAAGATGTCTCAAAATCCATATCAGCCATGAGCACCGTCTTCGCCAAAGTCCTGGACGATCTGGTGGCTTTGGTCAACGCGTGCAGCATCACGACAACGTCGTTGTTGAGGGAAATTACCAAGGACTTGGAGAAGCTCAAAGCCGACCATCTTGATGCCGACATGCGGTTGGGTGGCCACGTGACCAATGTCGGGGAGAATGTGAAGTCTTCGTTGGCCGATGACATCCAGGTTCGGCTCACCTCGACTTCCACCAATATCGGCGGCGCCCTTTCCGGCAGCATTGGGCCACCCCCGCCTCCCTGTCCATCCCCCGCGCTGCCAGAAGAAGTCATCAAAGTAGTCTTGATGCCGACCGTCTTGATGCCAACATGCGGTTGGGTGGACACGTGACCAATGTCGGGGAGAAAGTGAAGTCTTCGTTGGCTGATTACGTTCAGTTTTGGCTCGCCTCGACTTCCACCAATATCGTCGGCGCCCTTTCCGGCAGCATCGGGCCACCCCCGCCTCCCGGTCCATCCCTCCCAGAAGAAGTCACCAAAACAGTAAGGGATGACTTGATTCAGGCGGCGACCGCCGTCATGCAACAGGCATTGGGTACCGTCGGCTTTACGCTACTGCTTAACGTGCTCGCTACAATGAGGCAGGGGCGGCGTGGTTCGTCTCCCTCGGCCGGCGACTTGGAGGCTGTGACAAGGCAAAGGCCAGGAAAAAGGGTTGATAGTAGAGGTGCAGCCGACGGCGATGACGCGGGAAGTTCGAAGTGGAGTGAAGGTGCTGGTGGGAGCCGCGCCGCAAGCGGCGACATTCCAGATCGTTCTCAGTCTTGTTCTCCAAGCGTCAACGTGCTGCTAAAGAAAAAAGGGGCGAAAGCTCGACTATTTGGCCCGCAGAGTAAAGGTGGAGACGACATCAGCGTGGAGGGTAGGACTGCCGTCACGGAGGGTATGCAAGCTGGCGGGTCTTCCTCCCATGCCGCTAGAAAGAAAGGTTCGGAGATTCCCCGTCCTCGAGGTCGCACCACGGCCTTCCGATCGTCAGTGTCAATGTTGAAGTTGTTGAATTGCAGGCCGAGGCGACGATACCCACCACCCATCCGGCGACCGATGCAAGTGCAAACAACGTTGGCGGCAATTTGAAGCTGTTGTGGTGCATGCCGACACTGTGCACCCCACCACCCACACGTGGACCGATGCAAGTACCAACACTTGGTTGCTCCCAACCGGCGTTGTAGGCAGGCAACCCGTCGTCGGCGCCGTCGATCCTCTTGCAGACTCACCAGGTCCTCGCTACTATGGTCAGCGTAGTGGAGGGCACGGGCCCTAACAGCGTGAAAGAGGAGGACCCTGTGGCAAGAGCGCTGATGGAGGAGCATCTGGCTCTTGAGGCGCATTCACACCAGCCACCCTTTGCCTTTGCCAACGCCACTATCCCAACACCTCGCGTGGGATTGCAAGTGCGCCCTGCACGGAGCACTTAGTCGCCGGTCCCACACCACCAGACCCGGTCTCGGCCGAGATCAATGCGCGTCAAGCGGCATCACCATCCGCTTATCCACCGACAACTGGCCCCAGTGCTGCACCGACCACGGGGCAACCCGTCGCCGGTCCTACACCTTCGGACCTGGTCTCGGCCATGCTGCTGGCCCAGATCAACGCGCGTCAAGTGGCAGCACCATTGCGCATCCGCCGACAACTGGCCCCAGCGCTGCGCCAACCACGCAGCAGCCCGCCGCCGAGGCCACGCCATCGGACCCGGTCTCGGCCATGCTGCTGGCCGAGATCAACGCGCTTCAAGCAGCAGCACCATCCCCTCATCCGCCAACAACCGGTACCCGCGCTGCGCCGACCATCGTGAACTTTGGTGAGGCCGTACGCCAAGCAGTGACAGACAACACGCCGGTTCCTTCAGTGGTTCCAACGCCTTACCAGGTCGGCAAGGTGGCCCTTGATGGTGGCGTTGACGATTTTCAACAACCTTATCATCGGGGATGAGGATGTGCAATTGATACAAGCAACAATGGACGCAGACAGATATACCGCCCAGCAGGCTGGTGAAGCTGCGTCGACCAACGTTGCTGTGGAGGATCGGCCGGCTAGTGTTCGATCGGCCCCCCAGACCAGGCAGATCGGGCCGTCGGACCGGTCGGTCGGCGTTACGGTTGCTGGCCAGGCTGGTCCGTCCTTACCGTCCCTCTATCATGCCTGCTGTCAGAACATATAGCTTACTTATTTCTGTAGGCTATAGTGGGGTATCCCATAGGGGGTACAACCCAATTAGGGTTTCCTATTTGTACCCACTTCTTTTTCATAGTCATTCACTTCTCGTTCGTACTTTCTCATGGAATCAGAGCAGGTCCCTTCCTAGGGCCTGTTCCTAGGGCCCACCGAAGCGCGCCCTGAGGCGCGCATTTTTTTTAGCGACCCTCCGAGTCGCCCCTCCCGTCGTGCTCCCGCTTAGGCCCCTCGTCGGCCCCCCGCTTAGGCCCCTCGTCGGCCCCCCGCTTAGGCCCCTCGTCGGCCCCGCTTAGGCCCCTCGTCGGCCCCGCTTAGGCCCCTCGTCGGCCCCTGCTTAGGCCCCTCGTCGGCCCCGCGTACCCCTCGTCGGCCCCGCGTAGGCCCCGCGTACCCCTCGTCGGCCCCGCGTACCCCTCGTCGGCCCCGCGTAGGCCCCGCGTACCCCTCGTCGGCCCCACGTAGGCCCCGCGTAGGCCCCGCGTACCCCTCGTCGGCCCCGCGTAGGCCCCGCGTACCCCTCGTCGGCCCCGCGTACCCCTCGTCGACCCCGCGTACACCTCGTCGGCCCCGCGTACACCTCGTCGGCCCCGCGTACACCTCGTCGGCCCCGCGTACCCCTCGTCGACCCCGCGTACACCTCGTCGACCCCGCGTACACCTCGTCGGCCCCGCGTACACCTCGTCGGCCCCGCGTACACCTCGTCGGCCCCGCGTACACCTCGTCGGCCCCGCGTACACCTCGTCGGCCCCGCGTAGGCCCCGCCCAGGCCCCGTCTCGGCCCCGTGTCGGCCCCGCGTAGGCTCCGTCGGCCCCGCTTAGGCCCCTCTTCGGCCCCGCGTCGGCCCCACCTACGCCCTGTCGGCCCCGCGCTGGCCCCGCTTAGGCCCGCCACCGGCCCCTGCTACAGCCCGCCGCGTCGGCCCCGCCTACAGCCCGCCGGCCCGCCTAGGCCCCACTTCGGCCCCTCGTCGGCCCCACTACAGCCCGCACCGGCCCCTGCTATAGCCCGCCACCGGCCCTGCTACAGCCGCCACCGGCCCCTACTACAGCCCGCCGCCGGCCCTGCTACAGCCCGCCACCGGCCCTGCTACAGCCGCCACCGGCCCCTGCTACAGCCCGCCACCGGCCCTGCTACAGCCCGCCACCGGCCCTGCTACAGCCGCCGCCGGCCCTGCTGCAGCCCGCCACCGGCCCTGCTACAGCCCGCCACCGGCCCTGCTACAGCCCACCACCGGCCCTGCTGCAGCCCGCCGTACTGCACGTGAGCAGCCCCAGCAGCCCGCGCCGCCCGTCAGCCCCTACGCCACCCGAGCCGCGCGAGCCGCCCGAGCCGCCCGAGCCGCCTGAGCCACGCGAGCCACCTGAGGAGCCGTGCTGCTGTCCCTGAGCTGTGTTCCTCTGCTGCTGACCTACCCGACTCTTCCAGCCCGGTGAGACTTTCAGCTGCTGCCATGGCCACCCCCAATGTTCTTACTTTTGACGCTGAGGGGAGGGCCATTGACTTTGCCGTCTGGATTGAAGACCTGCAGCTGTACTTACTGTGTGATGCGATAGATGAGGTCTCTCTCTTTGACTTTGTCTCTGGAGCTGTCCCTGCCCCGCCTGCTGATGCTGACTCTGCCGTTCGCTCCAAGTGGGCGACCCGCGATGCTGCTGCACGTCTTGCTGTGCGTCGCCACCTCCCTTCCTCTGAGCGTGCCCACTTTAGTCAGTGCAAGACCGCTCAGGCCTTGTACGACGCTGTAGTTGCACGCTACTCCTCTCCTTCCTCCGCTACCCTTAGCCGCCTCATGCTACCGTTTCTCTTCCCTGACCTCGCTTCCTTTCCCACTGTCGCTGACCTCGTTACCCACCTCCGCACTAGTGACGCTCGCTACCGCGCTGCCCTTCCTGCTGAGTTCCGCGCCGCAAACCCTCCTCCCATGTATATCACTCTCTACTTTCTCGTCACCCGTCTTCCTGAGTCCCTTCGTGTCGTTAGGGACCAGTTTCTCGCTGTCTGTCCCACCACCCTCACTGTCGACCTCCTTGAGGAGTCCCTGCTAGCGGCTGAGAAGAGTATAGTCGCTGTAGGGGCCTCTAGGGGTGACCCTCGCACCCCCATCTTTGAGGGGTGTTCTCCTTCCCCCCTGCTGCCCTCTGTCGCCTCTGCTGCTACGGCCGACCTCGCTGGTTTTGAGTCGGTCGGTGCGGCGTCTGCCCCCAGCGGCAGACGCCGCTCTGGCAAGGGCAAGGGGGGCAAGGGAGCGGGTGGATCTAGAGGAGGCAATGGCGGAGGAGGTGGGGGTGGCGGGGGGAGTGGGGGTGGCGGTGGAGGTGGTGGCGGGAGTGGGGGTACCGGTGGAGGAGGTGGAGGCGGAGGTGGCGGCGGAGGCGGCAGCGGAGGAGGCAGGGGCGAGGGTACCGGTGGGGGCGGTGGCGGTGGAGACGGGGGTGGCGGTGGAGGTGGGAGTGGCGGTGGAGGCGGGAGTGGCGGAGGCGGCGGGGGTCGGAGTGGCTCGTCCCAGCGGAGCAGCTCTGGGGGTGGTCAGCGCCAGCAGCAGCAGCAGCAGCAGCAGCGGTCTCGCACCGTCCCCGCCCCTCAGCAGCTCCGTGAGTGGTACTTGCAGCGTCAGCGTGGTGGTGCGTTTGGTCCCTGCCCCTACGTTCTTCGCTCCGGCGACCGTGCGGGGGAGAGGTGTGGAGGCACCCACACAGCGCGCCGCTGCTTTGGCCGCCTGACCGACGCCTGGCGTCAGCAGTTTCCGGAGGCCGCTGAGATCCCCCGCTGGGGGGAACTGTCTAGGGCTGGTGTAGCCATTTATGATCTTGACTTTGATGCTATTCTCTCTGCTATGTATGCTGTGACTGGTAGTGATGAGGATGACTGTTACCGGTGTTTCCCGCCCGACCCGGGCATTGGTACTGCCGCGTCAGGTACTAGTGAGGCTGCTGCTCTAGGTGCCAGTGCGTCTGTGCTCTCAGGTGCTGGTGAGTCTGCCCTCTCAGGTACTGTGTCGGCTTCGGCCTCTCACACCTTCACCCTTGACTCTGGAGCGTCTCGCTCCTTCTTTCGGGACCGCACCACTCTCACGCCACTGAGTCGGCCGGTTGCGGTGTCCCTGGCTGACCCCTCTGGGGGGCCTGTCCTGTCTCGCTTCTCCACTGTCCTCCCGTGTCCGGCGGCCCCCTCTGGCACCCTGACTGGTCTCTACCTCCCCTCGTTCTCGACGAACTTGGTGAGTGGTGCTGACCTCCAGGATGCGGGTGTCCACCAGTTCACCCCTGCTCGTCAGCGGGTGACTCACTGCACTGAGGCGGATACAGGTCGCCACCTGGCTACGTTCACACGTCGGCCAGGGTCGAGCCTGTACACACTGACCACTGCTTCTCCTCCAGGTACTACGTCTGGTAGGGTCCCTTCGTCTGGTCAGGTGTTTGCTGCAGCGTCCAGGTCCGGTCCTGAGTCAGCCCCCTGCTCGTGTCGTCGTCTGTCTCACGAGACCCTCCTCTGGCACCACCGCCTTGGCCACCCCTCTCTGCTTCGGCTCAGAGGCATGGCCTCGCGAGTCCTTGTGTCTGGTCTTCCCCGGTCCCTACCTCCCTTTCCTCCGGGCCCTGGCCCTGCCTGTGTCCCCTGTGTCGAGGGGCGCCAGCGTGCTGCCCCTCACTCCTCCCAGTTTCCTCCGACAGAGGCCCCGTTGCAGACGCTTCACATGGACGTGTGGGGCCCAGCCCGCGTCTGTGGACAGGGTCAGGAGCGCTACTTCCTGCTGGTGGTTGACGACTACTCGCGTTACACCACAGTCTTCCCCTTGCGCAGCAAGGGTGAGGTCACTGAGGTGTTGATCGTTTGGATCCGCGCAGCTCGTCTCCAGCTTCGGAGGAGCTTTGGCTCTGACTTTCCTGTTTTGCGTCTGCACTCGGACAGAGGCGGAGAGTTCTCCTCTGGCCTCCTGAGTGCCTACTGTCGTGCGCGAGGCATTCGTCAGACCTTCACGCTTCCGGACTCACCACAGCAGAATGGGATTGCTGAGCGCCGCATTTGCATGGTCATGGACGTCGCTCGTACGTCCATGATGCATGCGGCTGCCCCCCATTTTCTGTGGCCGTTTGCGGTCAGGTACGCCGCGCATCAGATCAACCTTCACCCCCGGGTCTCTCGACCCGCGATGTCCCCAGTCTTGATGTGGACGGGGAAGGTTGGCGATGCGTCGGCGTTCCGGGTCTGGGGATCTCGGGCGTTTGTCCGCGACTTGTCTGCGGACAAGCTGTCCCCTCGCGCTGCTCCCTGCGTCTTCCTGGGGTTCCCCCCCGACGCCCCTGGGTGGCAGTTCTACCACCCCACCTCTCGACGTGTTCTGTCCTCCCAGGACGTCACGTTCGACGAGTCGGTACCCTACTACCGCCTCTTCCCCTACCGCACTCCGTCCCTCCCCCCACCCCCGCTCTTCTTGGTCCCAGGCCCCCCCCCGGTAGTCCCCCTCCCCCCTCAGGGTCCTGCCCCTTCAGGTGTGTCCCAGGTAGACGCGGTCGAGCCTGTCGAGGTCACTGGGGACTCTGGTGCTGCTGGGGGTGCTGAGCCTGGGGGTGCTGAGCCTGGGGGTGCTGAGCCTGGGGGTGCTGAGCCTGGGGGTGCTGTGCCTGGGGGTGCTGAGCCTGGGGGTGCTGAGCCTGGGGGTACTGAGCCTGGGGGTGCTGAGCCTGGGGGTGCTTCGTCTCGCCGGGAGCCACTCTCCCCACCGGAGCTGCGTGAGTGGTTTGCCAGGCGCTGGAGGCGTGCTGCTGGTGCTGGTGGTTCTTCGGCTGCAGAGGGTACTGCTGTCGCGCGTCCCGACGGTGCTCGTCCTTTGGGTGTTGGAGCTGCTGGGTCTGAGAGTTCTCCTGGAGCTGGTACTGCTGAGGGTGTTGTCGCTGAGCCTGCCGCTGGCGGTCCGCCTGCGGGTACTCCTGGTGCTGCTTCTGGGGCCTCTGGTGGTGCTGCTGGAGGTGCTGCTGGAGTGGGTGCTCCGGCCGGGGCTGCTGGCGCTGTTCCAGCTGTTTCTAGCGTCGCCGCGCGGCCCCGACCTTACTTCGTTCCGCTCCTTCAGCAGGTTCTTGGTCTTACACCTTCTCCTCCTCCCGTAGAGGGTCCGCAGCCTGTCCAGTCACAGCCACAGCTACAGCCTGCCTCCCCTTTGCCTGCTCCTTCTCCCTACGCTGGTCCGACTGGAGGTCTTACTGAGCGTCGTGAGCCTGCGTCTCGTCCTGCGTCACCTGTTCGTCCTGCGCGCGCTAGTGGTCGCGGTTCGCGTCAGCGTCCTCCTCCTGTCCCTGGCACGCACCGGATGTCGCTGCGTCCGTCCACTGCTCCTCTGCGTGCCCCTTTGCCTTCTCCTCCTGCTTCCTCTCTTCCTGCTCTTGCCGACCCGGAGTCGGACTCTCTTCGTGCTGCCAGTCCTACTGTCACGCGTCTCCTTGCTACTGCTGTCACTGACCCTTCCTTCGAGTCGTCTGCTGCGTCTGCCCTTGTCACTGAGCTTGTCGACTTTGCTGCGCGCTGTCGTCTCGACTACGCTGCTCGTCTTGTCACTGAGTCTCAGTCCGCCTGTCCTCCGTCCGTCGGGGGTGAGTGTGCCCTTGGCACGGACGTCCTTGAGGACAGGCAGGAGGAGTTCCAGTGTCTGGCTGCCGCTTCACCTCGTCTCGCGTCTGTACTGCTAGCCCCTGAGGGAGACCCGGATGCACCAGACATCCCGACTCCGCGCTCTTACGCGGAGGCCGTAGAGGGTCCCTACTCCTCTCAGTGGCAGGCAGCTATGGATGCAGAGATGGCTTCCTGGAAGTCCACAGGCACCTACGTTGACGCTGTACCCCCTCCTGGGGCGAACATCGTCAGTGGCATGTGGATTTTCAGGGTGAAGCGGCCGCCGGGTTCTCCGCCTGTCTTCAAGGCGCGCTACGTGGCTCGTGGCTTCAGTCAGCGGCAGGGGGTTGACTACTTCCAGACCTTCTCCCCCACCCCGAAGATGACCACTCTTCGGGTTCTGCTGCACGTTGCTGCTCACCGTGACTATGAGCTGCACTCTCTCGACTTCAGCACAGCTTTCTTGCAGGGCAGCCTGCACGAGGAGATCTGGCTGCGCCGCCCACCTGGCTTCACTGGGTCTTTCCCTCCTGGTACCCAGTGGAGTCTCCGGCGTCCAGTCTACGGTCTCCGCCAGGCGCCACGTGAGTGGCACGACACACTGAGGACTACGCTCGCGGCACTTGGGTTTGCTCCTTCTACTGCCGACCCGTCGCTGTTTCTGCGCACCGACACCTCTCTGCCGCCGTTCTACATCCTCGTGTACGTCGACGACTTGGTCTTTGCCACAGCTGACACTGCTGGACTCGCCTACGTGAAGTCTGAGCTGCAGAAGAGACACACGTGCACTGACCTGGGTGAACTGCGCAGCTACCTTGGCTTGCAGATCACCCGGGATAGAGCACGCCGCACCATTACCCTGACTCAGTCACACATGGTGCAGCAGGTCCTTCAGCGCTTCGGCTTCACGTACTCCTCGCCTCAGGCCACTCCTCTGCCTACTCGCCACTCACTCTCAGCTCTGCCTTCGGATGAGTCCGTAGAGTCGAGTGGCCCGTTTGCAGAGCTTGTTGGCTGCCTCATGTACTTGATGACCTGCACACGACCTGACCTCGCATACCCTCTTAGCATTCTCGCACGCTTTGTTGCTCCTGGGAGACACCGACCAGAGCACATGGCTGCAGCAAAGAGGGTGTTGCGCTACTTGTGCAGTACGTCGGGCATGGGGCTAGTGCTTGGAGGGCGCAGTCCAGTGGTCCTCACTGGGCACGCAGACGCTTCTTGGGCTGACGACCAGGCTACGCAGCGGTCGTCACAGGGTTACTCCTTCAGCCTTGGTTCCGGCTCTGTCTCGTGGCGGGCTACCCGCTCGTCTTCTGTTCTCGGCTCCAGTTGTGAGGCTGAGATCTACGCTGGGGCTATGGCTGCACAGGAGTTACGCTGGCTCACCTACCTGCTGACCGACCTTGGAGAGCCGCCTCGTTCTCCTCCAGTCCTGTACGTAGACAACAAGGCCATGCTGGCCTTGTGTCGAGAGCAGCGACTGGAGCACAGAACGAAGCACATTGCTCTCCGCTACTTTCTTGCTCGTCAGCTACAGCAGCGTGGACAGTTGCGACTTGCGTACGTGGCCTCTGAGGCCAACACTGCTGATGTCTTCACCAAGGCACTTGCGCCTTGTGATCATCAGCGTTGTTGCACGCAGTTGGGTCTTGTGCCTGTCTTGCCTCACTTGCTCTGCTCTTGACCTTGCTTGTACCTTCACCTATATATACTCTTGCTCTTGCTTGCTTGACTCTTGTATATCTCTATATATGATCTTGCATGTGAACTGGCCTTCTGGCCTTTGAACTTGTGCTCGGAATGCGTGGTGACTTTGTGATCCACCCTGAGCTTTGCTTTGCTTTGCTTGACTGGTCTTGTGACCCCTTGTTCTCCCCCACTTTGCCTATGGGGGTGTGTCAGAACATATAGCTTACTTATTTCTGTAGGCTATAGTGGGGTATCCCATAGGGGGTACAACCCAATTAGGGTTTCCTATTTGTACCCACTTCTTTTTCATAGTCATTCACTTCTCGTCCGTCCTTACCGTCCCTCTATCATGCCTGCTTCATAGCGGTCGATCACACCTTCCATACCGGCCTAATGGACCGATCGGCAGGCGTCACGGCTGTTGACCAGGCTGGTGAAGTGGGACCGTCCTTCTGGCCGGTCGTTTCAGTGGCTAGCCAGGCCGGCAAGATAGGGCCTTCAGACCGGTCAGCATGTGTCACATTTGCTGTCCAGGCGGGTTAGGCCGGACCGTCAAACCATCCGGCCGGAGGACCATTGGCTGTACAGGCCGACAAGGACGGACAAGCCGACCGTACAATTCTGCCGTGTTCCTAGGTTGTTGATTTTTTTAACCCCTAAGACGCCGACATGTTCTTGTTTGTTTTGCTATTTTGCTGGCCGGCATTACAAATAGAGAATGCACAGTCAAAGATACGAACAGAAGTCACAAGCAAAAGATAAAACGTCGCTTAGTGGCTGTGAATGTGAAGATAACTACTACAACGAGAGCTAGATTACGAGGAAGGCATGATTCTGTGGGATATCATAGCGTTCCTTGCGTTCTCTGGCACTTGCATGTTCACAGGGCAAAACGGCAAGAGTTTCACTAGAGAAAGTTCATAACAATGATTGAAACAACATTGGGAAAGTTGACTACATCATGAGCAAGTCTGCCTAGCATGCAAGCAGGTCGACTTCTAGTGCAGCATGGTCGACCGCGTTCCAGCACTGCAAAATCGACCGCACTCCAGCAGTGCAAAGTGACGACTTGCCAACGTTGCAAGTCGACGGCGTGCCAACGCTCCAGCAAGGCGGCTGTACAGCGTTGCACCAGCTTCGCAAGTGCTAGCAGTTGGTTGGCGTGATGTGCCCCGTCACGTGCACAGCGCAGACGCGAAGTCGACCACGTGTCTTTGACTGCGCCTGATCAACCACGTCGACCTCGTGATACCACCTCCAAGGTCGACTTCGCCAGAACCACCTGGGCAACTGTCGCGTGTCCCGCAGAACCTCGTTCGTCGCCCTCGTTACTTGGTCGACCGGGACAACTACGTGCCCGTCGACCGCCCAAGTCGACGACCACCACCAGCCGACCTCCCAAGTCGGCTACACTGCAGGTCGACCAACTCTAGGTCAACTTCCCAAAGCAGGCGCCCTCCCAAGTCGGCGCTCCTCCCAAGTCGACGAGCCCCCTCGTCGACCACGGTTGAAGTCGGCCATCGACACGCATTGTCGGTGGCTTCGCAGTGGCCTCAGTGCAGGCCGACCACGCGTGTCGACCTGCGTGCCTAAGTCGGCGTCGCCCACTGCAGCAGGTCGGCTGCACTTCCTGCAAACCCGACCACGAAGTTGGCTCCACCCAAGCAAGGACGGGGCCAACACATCACTCCCGTTGACACTCCCCTGCCACGTTCACGCTTGGGCCTCCACCCCTCACGGCAATACCACTCGGAGAATAGTTCGTTGGCGTGCACACAACACACAGCACGCCGTCACCGCACCAGCCGTGCAGAAGGGCACAGCACCTACTGCTGCACGCCGTCATAACCGTCGTCGATGTCAGCCAGGCGCGCTTGGCCGATTGCGACGGAGTATTGGTTGAAGGCCGGGAAGTGCAACACCTTCGTCAGGAAGTCGGCCGGCTCCTCGGTGGTCGGGATGTTTATTTACCATGAACTTCCCACATTTCACCATGTGCCATAGCCAGGCATATCGCCGTTCCATTTGCTCAAGGTTGCCCTGCAGCCCCAAGCCCTTGGCGACTGTGATGGCCGACTTGTTGTGCACCTAAATGACCGTCGGCGTCCCAGCGTTCAGTACCTGGAACTAAGCAGGAAGGAAGCGAAATCGGCGTCCTTCCTTGCCAACTTCCTTGTGTGTGCGTGCGTGTGTGTGTGTGTGTGTTTGTGTGTGTGTGTGTGTGTGTGTGTGTGTGTGTGTGTGTGTGTGTGTGTGTGTGTGTGTGTGTGTGTGTGTGTGTGTGTAGCCATCCATCTGTACACCTTGGTTGTTACAAAACCGCGATGAGAGCTAATTATGCAATGGACCTTGAGGAGCAGCAAAGGGATAATTGGTATCTACCAAAACATTTAAAATGGTGCTAACAGACATGCTCACATCAAGACTGCTGGGAGGGAATGGCAGAACCAATAGTAGAAGCAGAATCAGCTGTTGGAGCAGACATTCTAGCAGCAACTACAGTGGCCGTACCAGCAGGTGCAATGGCAGAGGTCGCAGGCGCAGCTGAAAGTGCCGATCTATTGTTGCCGATAGCAGCATCAGTTGTAGTGGTGGCAGCAGCAAGAGGTGGAGAGGCAGTAACAGCTGCTTGCACCGAAACAGCTTCTTGCACCGAAATAGCTGCTTGCGCCGAAACAGCTGTTTGCGCCGAAAAAGCTGCTGTAGAACTGGCTTTGAAAACATCAGTTTCAGTGGCAGTGGCAGCAGGTACAGAAGGTGCAGTGGCGGTAGCAGCTTTGGTCAGCGGAGCAATGCGAGTAGTGGCATCAGTTGCAGCAACAGTAGACACAGGTGTGGCAATAACTGGATGAGTTGCTGCACTGCTGGCAGCAGTGGGGGGCGAAGCAGGTGCAGGAAGAGGAGCAGGAGCAGAAGAATCAGCAGCAAGATTAGAAGGAGGAGCAGACGCAGGAACAGCAGTGGGAATGGACATGTTGGGAGCAGGAACAGCAGCAGCAGTAGCAACTGGAGCAGCAGCAGGAGCAGGTGTTGTGGTGGCACCAGCAAGTGGCACAGGGTCAATAGCAGCTGCTCGTGCTGCCAAAGAGGCATTGGCGGGAGCAGCAGCAGCGGGAGCAGGAGTTGTGGTGGCAGCAGCAGGTGGCACAGGCGCAGGTGGTCTAGCTGCCATAGGGGCATTGGCAAGAGCAGCTGCAGCTGTGCTGGAAGGAGGCGCAGGTGTGGTGGAGGGAGGCGGTCGGGTGGATGTGAGTGAAGTGAGGAACGCAGCAAGAAACCGGGGGGGAGGCGGCGTTGGGAGAGAGCGAGGTACGTGGAAGGAAGGGGGAGCGGCAGTGAGTAGCGGCTGGCCCCAGCCAAAGCCGTACGGCCGGGTGACAGGGAGAAGGGCGGATGGCAAGCCAGCAAGCAGCTGTGCAAGGGAGTGGAGTGCGGTGGTGGCAGGTGGCACAGTGCGGGGGAAAGGGAAGCGCGGGGCGTGAGCAGCAAGAGGGGCAGGCATGGGGTGGGGAGCGAGAGCAGCTCGGAGGGCTGCTGCCACTATGAGCTCCGGGGCCAGCAGCGGTGCTGCCACGCCCGCTGACCCCTCCCCGCCCGCTGACCCCTCCCCGCCCGCTGACCCCTGCCCACCTGCTGCCAACTGCCCTCCGCCTGCTGCTCCCCTGCCTGCCATGGCCGCCCCACTCGCCGCTGCTGCTGCCCCGGCCCGTGATGCCACCACCCCCTCCTGCTCATCCCTGTGATGAGAAGGAGCGGGGATGCCATCACGGGCGTGGGCCACCACACCGTCCTGCGCATCCCCGCTCCTCCTTCTCTTCCGCCCTCGCCCACCACGCATGCCCCCTCCTGCGCTCCTCCCTGCCACCGCGCCAACTATCCCCTCCTTCGACTCCCACTCCTCACTGCTCCTCACTCCACTTTCCTCTACGCTCATGCTCTCACTGCTCTCACTCCCCTCACCCCCCTCCCACACCACCACACGGGTCCTCTCAAGCCTCCGCCATGCGCGCCCCACCGCTGCTACCCAGTGGGCTGTGAGCTTCCCGGGGAAGGGGGTGGCTGCGGCAAGGGCAGCCCACGCAGAATGCAGCTGTGGGGTGGCCTGGGCGGCAGATGCCACCCGCACGCCGGCCAGCGATGCCAGCAGCGTGCTCACTTGAGGTGGCGGGATCATGGGGGCATGTGTAGGAGCAGCAGCAAAAGCATTCGCAGTGGCAGCACCAGCAGTAGCAGCAGTGGCGACAGCAGCAGTGGTGGCATTAGCAGGTGCAGCACTTTGTGCAGCGATGGCTTGAGGGGCAGAACGAGTGAAAGCATCAGCAGTGGCAGCAGCGTGCGGGCTCGTATGGGAATGGAGGGTGGGCAAGTGAAAATCATTGTCCGTGTCAAAACCACCACCATCAGTGTCCGAGTCATCAAAGCCACCCTCGCTGTCACCAGTAACGCCACCATTCCCACCATCGCCACCAACACTCTCCATCCCATTCCCAGCCGCCCTACGCCGCCCACCACCACCATCCTGCCGCCCCCCTTGTATCCATTCCTCCTCGCGCACGTCAGTCAGCCGGCGCCCACTCGCCTTGATCTGAGCGCGCCTCTCCCGCTGCTCTTCTGCCAGCGCCACCAGCGCTGCCACCTCCTCCTCCTTCACCTCACACCGCTCGTCCAGTATCCCCCTTATCCTCGCCCTCACTCCTCCCTGCCCCTCACTCTCCTCCCCCTCCCCTCCCCCCCTTTCTTCAAACTCGTCCTCCGCCCGACCTTCCTCCCCTCTCCTCCCACCCAGCCCGCCCCCTCGCCCTCTCGCCCCACCACCTGCTCTTCCCGCGCCACCAGGGGGGAAGAACCCCCAGCGCTGCATGAACTGCTGCACCCATGCCAGGCTGCAAGTGAATCTCCGACCCACCCCCACCAGCGGGGCCAGCCGCCTCGCATACTCCTGCACCGCCCTCACACACACCTGCTGCTGCCCCGCCCCTGGCCCCTCTCTGCTCCCCACCTCGCCCCCCCCACCACCCCCTGCAGCTCGCCTGTCCTCCTCCATCCTCGCTATAGCCTTCCTCACTGCGAGCGCAAGAGCCTCCTCCAGGCGGGTCTCAGCAGGGCGCAGTCTGACGGCGCCCGGCCTGCCAGCGCGGGAGAGCTGCACCAGCTGCCTCCAGTCGTCCTCCCTCAGCAGCACCGCTGGCAGCCACACGTTCGTTACCCGCACGCCGTACCTGCCATGCCACGCCATGCCACGCCACGCCATGCCAAAGGGGAGGGACCCACAGGTAGAAGAGGTGTGGAGCGTGAAGGGAGAGAGAGAAAGGGGTGGAGAGAGGGAGGCAAGAGAATGTGGAAGGCACCAGAAGCAGCAATAACAGCGAGAAAGGACAGAGGACTCTGGAGAGAAAGGGTTCGGTTGACCAATTACAACCATGATGCATGAAACAGGGAGGAAGGGAGGAGGTGGTGCGGGTGAGGGTGAAAGAGAATCTAGTCGTTCAGGCAAGGAGCAAAACGCACCTGGCGCAAACAGTGGCACAACACACCTGGCGCAAACAGTGGCACAACACACCTGGCGCAAACAGTGGCACAACACACCTGGCGCCAACAGTGGCACAACACACCTGGCGCCAACAGTGGCACAACACACCTGGCGCCAACAGTGGCACAACACACCTGGCGCCAACAGTGGCACAACACACCTGGCGCCAACAGTGGCACAACACACCTGGCGCCAACAGTGGCACAACACACCTGGCGCCAACAACGCGGGCGATGGCCTGGGAGGGGAGGGAGGGGAGGGCGCGGGCGAGGGCGCACATGGCGAGCTTCACAGCGGGCGGCACCACCGTGTGGCGCCACCGCCGCTTCCTGCCGTCCGCCCCCTCCCCTGTGCGCCCCTGCACCTGCCCCGGCGTGCCCCCTGTGGGCTCAGCAGCCCACTGCTCCGCCAGGCGCTGCAGGCGGTCCACCGGGCCCTCCTGCTGCTGCTCTCCCCCCGCTGCCCGCCCAGCACGCCCGGCAGCAGCAGCAGTAGGAGTAGCAGTGGCAGTGGCAACAGCAGTGGCAGCAGCAACAGCAATGGAAGCAGGGCGGTCAGAGTGCAGTGAATGGCGCCCCTCTTCCCTCTCCTCGTCTGTCCCTCCACCATCACTGCTCTGCCCTTCCGTGGTGTTTCCATCAGTCATGTTACCATCAGTGGTGCTACCATCAATCGACATCTCTCCCCCATCTCCTCTCTCCTCACCTTTCTTCTTCCCACCCCCATGCTCCACCTGCTTGCCCCAGCTGCTCCCAAGCCCGTGCCGCAGCAGGGCCTTGCGAGCCCAGTGGCGGCTATACCGGAACCCCTCGCCCACGCCCATGTGCGGCCCCACCTGTCTCGCATACTCCAGCACATCATCCCACCGCAGGGCCTCTTGCCCGTACCGTGCCTCCATGGCCCGCACCCACGCCGCCACGGCCGCCTGCACCTGGGGGTGTGCGCCGCTGCGGTGGCGGATGAGGGTGGCGCCGTGGGCGGGCAGGGCGAGGTACACGTGGCTCTTCCTCAGAATGCGCCGCACCGCCGCCACATCCAGCGCTGCCGCTCCCGCCGCCTCCACGCCACCCGCCGCAACTCCCCCCTCTGCCAAGCTCGCTGCCCTGCCAGCAGCAGCGGCGGTGGCACAGGTGGTGGTGGGGGATGCTTGGGGATGGCGGGCGGGGGCAGCGAAGGCGCAGTGCACGAGGCGGAGGATGTCTTTGGCCCGCATGTCGGGGCGGGCGGCCCTCAGCATGCAGATCACTCGCTTCAGCCGCAGACTGATTGCCGCCCGGTGCTTGCCGTTCCCACCCAGCGCCCGCTTCTCCCTCGCTGCAGCACGCTGCCTGTCCGCATGGCGCCTACCAGCATTACCAGCATGGGCGTCGCCACCACTGGCGTCATGGCTGGGGGGGTCCAGGCGGAGCTCCCCTGCTGCTGCCACTGCCGCCTCCACATCAACCTGCATCCCTCGCACTCTCGCTGCTGCTGCTGCTGCTGCACCCCTCACTGCTGCCCCTGCTGGCGGCGCCGCCCTTCTGACTCCCTCATCTGCCACTGTGCCTGCTGCAGCATCCGAGTCAGTCCCACCTGCTGCCTGCATGCCTGCACCCGCCTGCCCCCCTGCCACGCCAGCCTCTGCCAGTGCCAGCGCCAGCAGCTCTCGGCTGGGCTGCACCGCCTTCCTCCTCGCGCGCTCCCTTGCTGCGCCTCTTGCTGTGCCTGCCAGCAAATCTGCTCCGCCCTGCCAGCCATCTGCCTCTGCTGCCTCTGCCTGTGACACCCAGCCCCCATCGCCCTCCTCGCCTGTCCCCCCACCTGCCTGCTCCCTGCCCTGCTGCGCCCGCTCCCCTGACCCGCCCTGGCCCCTCCGCCGCCCCAGCTGCCCCTCGGCCTCCTCGTCCCTTTCCGCCCCTTCGCCCCTCTCACCCCTCTCCCCACCTTCGCCCCTGCCCTCTCTCTCCCCGCTCTCACCCCCTTCCAGGTCGATTACCTCTCTGCCGGCCGTCACTGACGTGTCCCGCCTCACCACCCTCATCCCTCCCCTACACGCACCCCTCCCTCTCTCCCTTCCACCCGCCCTTCCCACTACTCCCCGCCCTCCCCGCCCTCCCCTCCCTCCCCTCCCTCCCCTTCGTCCCCTCCCACCCTCACCCCTTCCATCTTCTTCACCCCCATCCCCCTCATCCCCCTCGCCCTCCCCATCCTCTGCATCGGCAACATGCGTGCGCGCCACCAGGATCTGAGCGCCAAAGATCTCATCTGCTACCTGCACCAGCGATGGCTCCGCACTGCCCGCTGCACCAGCAGCAGCGGCAGCAGCGGCAGCGGCAGCAGCAGCGGTGGGGCTGTGGTTGAAGTACGCCTCTCTCTCCTCCTCCAGGTCCCGCTTTGTGAACCCCCACCGCTCCTGGAAGCGCCACGCCCACCCGATGCTGTACCTGCGGAGGGGAAGAGTACGAGAGGATAGACTCACTGGGAGGTCTTGAGTTGACATGAGAGACGTGGCAGGAAGGGGAGAGGCGAGGAAGGAGAGAGGCGAGGAAGGGGAGAGGCGAGGAAGGGGAGAGGCGCGGGTCCGAGGGTGCAGGGGAAGCAGCAAGCAAGCAACACATGGCACGGAGCCCCGCCTCCCCTCCCATCAAACCCTGGCAGCACCTGAAGGAGGGCGAGACCCCAAACGAGGGGCCCAGCTGGCGGCCCTTGGCGCAGATGGCGTGCAGCTGCACCTTGGTGGCGCCGGGGCCGCCCTTCATGTCCCTCACCCACGCCACCAGCGCCTCCTCCAGCGCCATGTTCTCCGGCGCGCGCACGCTCTTGCTGCTGCGCTGCGCCAGCGCAGTGCTCCAGCGGGCCGGGTTGTCGAGGATGCCGCGCACGTGCGAGGGGATGAGGCGAATGTGCGGGTACTTGGCGCGGCACACGTGCATGATGCCCGGCACCGTGATGCCGGGGCGCAGGCGCCGCAGCTCACAGATTTCGCGCTTCACTCTCACGTCCACGGGCTTGCGCCGCCCGCTCCTGCTCCCTCCCCCGTCGCGCTGCCTGCTGCTGCCACCGCCTGTCCCTTCCTGCTCGCCTGCGCTGTCGCCTGCTGCTGCTGCTGCTGCTGCTGCTGCTGCCACGGGCACATGAGGTCCATCCGTTGTCTGAGGAGCAGCCGCTGCGCTCCGTGGTGCTGCAGCAGGTGGGTGGTGAGGCAGCATGCCATTCATGCCTGCCTCTGCTGCACCGCCTGCTGCTGCCCCCTCGTCAACCGCACCCGTGGAAGCAGCGCCAACAACAGCCGCCCTGCCAGCACCAACTCCTGCTCCTCCAGCAGCGGCGGCGGTAGTGGTGGCAGAGGCTTGTCTGAGGGCCTCACGAGCAGCTGCCAGGCCAGCAGCATAGCCCAGCTCATAGTCCTCCTCCCCCTCCCCCGCCTCTCCCCCCCACTCCTCCCCTCCCTCTCCTTCCCATTCCTCCTCTGCCGCTCCTCCACCCTCCCCCTCGTGCCACTCCCCCTCGTGCCACTCCCCCCATGCCCCACCCCCCCCACCCTCCGCACCCACACACACGTCGGTGCGCCCAAGCTCCTCCCCACCGCCACCCACTCCACCGCCACCCACTCCACCGCCAAGCTGCCACTCCGCCCGCCAACCCTCCTCCCAACTGCCCGCTGCAACACCAAACTGCCCCTCGCTGCCCCCTCCCCCCTGCTGCCGTTGCTGCTCATACTGGCGCTGCTGCTGCTGCTGCTGCTGCTGCTGCTGCTGTGGCAGGCGGTGCAATCTCCCATCTGCTGAGCCCACCATCTGCTGCCTTGCGTGTGCCTCCTCGCCCCTCCGATCACACCGATGCCCTTCCTCGTCGCCCTCCAACCCCCACGCCATCTCCACTCTCCTTCCCCTCACTGCACCTTCGTACTCCTCCCTATCCACACGCCTCTGCTGGTCCCCGACCACTCCCAATGCCTCTCCACCACTCACCCGCCCATCGAGGTACCCCATTCCCCCACCCACGTCCAACCCCCTGCCAGCGTTCCCTCCTCTTTTCCGCGCATCCCCACGCGCATGCGCGCCCGCCCCCATCCATTCCTGCCCGCGCGCCACACTTGCGCCCCTCCCTCCACGCGCCACCATCCCCCGCCCGCGACTGCCTTCCGCTTGCCCTGTACCGACCCCCATTCTCCCCCTTCCCGCGCCCGCGCCCTCGATTGAGCGCGCCCTACTCCCTCCTCCGCCGCCATCCGAGCCCCTCCCCCTGCCTCCTCTGCGGCGGGATACGCGCCCCTCCGCGCCTCCCCCTGTCCATCCCTCCGCTGCATTCGCTGCTTCCCCTCCTCTGCCCACCGCTCCCACTCCTCCGCCCGTCCCTCCGCCCTCCCACGCTGACACTGCCGCCCCGCGCACGTTTGCGCCAACCTCCGCGGCCTCCTCCACGCCCCATCCCGTTCCCCCAGGCGCGAGTCCTCCTGCTCCCACGTAGCCGCCCTCCGCGCCTCCCCCAATCGCCCACCAAGCCCCTGCAGTCCCCTCCGCCACCCCCCCCACCGCCTCCCCCCTCGAACTTCCTCTCCTCCCTCTTGCACCTCCCCCGCTTTTCCCCCTCCGTGCCCCCTTTCCCCTTCGCCCCCTCCCTCCTCCGCCTGGCTCCATCCAGGCAGCGCGCGAGGAGCGCCGCGAACTGACGATGGCGTTCAGCCACTGGCTGGGCTACGAAGACATCGGAAAAACAGGGGGGTCGGAGGGGTAGGTTTGTTTTCATGTGCTTGAAAGCTGCTTTCAGGAGAGTTACGGCAAAGCTACGTTTCTGTTGCTTTCCCGGTTGGCGCCTCGTCAAACTTTCCGAGCGAACACTGTGGAGGCTGCGTGGCGCACCTGGTTGGTTTTCGATTCATACCTATGGAAATCCTGCTAATTGCGAAGTTGTACGTTTTCGTACTCATCGGCTGTTACTCTACTCCCGTTTCGCCCGTTCACCTTCCAAAAATGCACTTCGCTCGTTTAGCACCTTGCAGGTTTGGCAACCCGATACTGAAGGATTCTAAGGATCGAGAAAGACGATTGAAAATAGCAATACAGCATGATACTTATATGTATGTCATGTCAAGTAGTTGAGATTTCAGCACCGCCTTGGCAATGCAATGTAACAATGCAATAGTTTATCATGTGATGAATTGACTCTCTAAAGAATACGGAATTGATAGTATCATTATATAGGCCGATGTATTGGCTCACCGTATGATCGCAATCCAATACTCAAACATGATATCCGCTAATGGGTTGAGAATTATTTAATCGTATGCATAACGGTTGAGAAGCTTCAACGTGGGTCGTGTGAAAGATGTTATGGTGTGCTCCGCCCGACTGACCTCAGCAAGATAAATGTTCTGTACGTAGTTGCGCGACGACCTGTACCCAGATTCAACGAGCAGGCCTCGGTGTCCTCCTCACGCTCCTCAAGCATCCTTACAAACGCCAATGGTACTTTGTTATTAACACCGTTCTCCCCGTGGGTCATCGCGTGAAATAGCACTCGAATTTGTGTATAGACCACAGCCACTGCAGGTGTTGATTCGTCGGCAGCGAGCGACTTAAGTGAAACGCATGAGATATAAGCTGCGCCATGGAACTTCGGGGTCGCGCGTGTAACACGGGCTTATATGAAAACGCCCTTAAACTCACAAAAAAGACCCGGGCTTATAAATGAATGCCCACAAAAGGGTCAATAGTAGGCTTATAAAACGCCAAGAATACACACACACCGTGAAAAACTAGTCCTATTAATAGCCTCAAGTCTTGGAAGCTTGATAGGTGAAGCCTTGGGAGAGAAAAGGTAACTTCACCAAGAAGGTAGTAGATGCCTGGAGCACTTGTGAGGGAAAAGACTTGGACTTAGAGAGAAGATCCCATTTCCATTTTGGTTAATTGGAAGTTGGGAGTTGAGAATGAGCTTGGTGAGCTCAATCCCCCCCTAGACCTCCTTGGGGAGCTCCACTTCCTCCATGGCAACAAGGGCAAGGAGCTCCTTGGTGTGAGCTTGCTTAGGTGGCACAATGGTTGGATTAGCAACCAATGAGAGCAATAGAATTGTGATAAGAATGGTTATGTTACATGTTGTAACTTGTAACAACAATGTTCAATTGTCATTGGTTGGAATTCCAACCAATGTGGGGTTGGGTTGGATTCCAACCATGCTTGTCTTTTAGTGGGTGGTTGTCCACAATTGTGGACCAATCACCACTCATCTCCTCCATCCTCTTCTTCCCGTAAGTCGATACCTTGCTTAGGTAGTGCTTTAGCTAGGAAACGCTCGTAGGGTAGGAGGGCGATGCGTTACACTCCTCCCCCTCCAGTTGGCAACGTCCCCGGTGCCTTGGAGTGCTTCTTGGGGCGAGTGCTGCGAGCACGACACACCACGTTACGGCCAGGGTCAACACCATCCACTCGCTGCGGGGCTGCTCGGAGAGCCAAGTCTTCCATGTAAGCTTGAACTGCTGTTTCAGTCAAGTGTTCCTCTGGCTCCCAAGAATTGTGTTCAAGCCCATAGCCTTTCCACTTAATGAGGAACTCACGTTTTGTTTTACGGCAGCGTTGTCGATCACGGTGCATGAGCACACGTTCGACTTCATAATATAGTTCCTCACCCAGGACGATGGTTGGTGGTGGTTGGTATGTGCCTTCGGCAACATATTTGTTTAACAGAGACACGTGGAAGACGTTGTGAATCTGCAAGGTATCTGGTAGCTTAAGCTTATAAGCCACCTCCCCAACCCGCTTGATAACCTCGAATGGCCCAATCCAACGAGGAAACAGCTTTCGTGCCCCAGGTAGTTGGAGTCGAATGTTTTTCGTACTCAATAATACCTTGTCTCCTTCTTGAAAAGAGACGTCCCGGCGTTTCATGTCAGCATAAGACTTTTGGCGTTGTTGGGCAAGTTGCAACCAACGACGAGCAGACCTAAGCGCTTCTTGCTGCTTGCCAATAAAGTCCTTAGCGGCTGGAATTTTCAAGCCACTGACCCCATGCGTAGCAGGTGTTGTGGGGTGCCGACCGCAATTTAAGATGAAAGGTTTTTCGTGGGTGCTCTCATGCACCGAGTTGTTGACAGCAAACTCCACTACTGGCAACAGCTCATCCCAGTCATCTTGTGTTGGGCCAATAAACGAACGAAGCATTTGTTCAAGAGTGCGATTTGTGCGCTCGGTCTGCCCATCCGTTTGAGGATGGAAAGCAGACGACATCTTCAGCTTCGTCCCCAGTGTCCGAATGACCTCCTGCCAGAAACGGCTTGTGAAACGAGGGTCTCGGTCAGACACTAGCACACGGGGTAAACCATGTAAACGAAAGACATGTGCCACAAACAACTTGGCCGTATCTTCCGCTGATACGTCACTGGTTGTAGGCACGAAGTGCACCATCTTGGTCAAACGATCTACGAAGACGAGGATCGCTGTATGACCATCTCGTGTTTCAGGGAGGTCAGTAATGAAATCCATTGACACACTCTCCCAGGGTTCATCAGGGATTGCAAGTGGTTGAAGCAAACCACCGGGTTTTTGTGTGCTCGGTTTATTACGTGCACACGTGTCGCAGTGTGTAACAAACTGCTGGACTTCACTGTCAGAACATATATGTAGCTTATGCTGTTGTGTAGGCTACAGTGGGGTATACCATAGGGGGTACAACCCAATTAGGGTTTTGCTATTTGTACTCACTTCACTCATAGTTCATTCATTCTCGCTCTATTTTCCACATGGTATCGAGCAGGTTCCCCCGTGGGAACTGTGCTTAGGGCCCACCACTTTTAAACTTTTTTTTCTGCCCGGAGCGCGCTCCGGGCCCTCGCTCTCACTCTTTCGGCCTGCCCTGCAGGCCCCTAGCTGCCCGCGCGCCGCCTGTCCCGGCCCCTAGCCGCTCGCGCGCCGCCCGTTCAGGCCCCTAGCCGCCCGCGCGTCGCCCATCCCGGCCCCTAGCCGCTCGCGCGCCGCCTGTTCAGGCCCCTAGCCGCCCGCGCGCCGCCCGTCCCGGCCCCTAGCCGCTCGCGCGCCGCCCGTTCAGGCCCCTAGCCGCCCGTGCGCCGCCCGTCCCGGCCCTCAGCTGCCCGCGCGCCGCCCGTTCAGGCCCCTAGCCGCTCGCGCGCCGCCCGTTCAGGCCCCTAGCCGCCCGCGCGCCGCCCGTCCCGGCCCCTAGCCGCTCGCGCGCCGCCCGTTCAGGCCCCTAGTCGCCCGTGCGCCGCCTGTCCCGGCCCCTAGCCACCCGCGCGCGCCCGTCCCGGCCCCTAGCCACCCGCGCGCGCCCGTCCCGGCCCCTAGCCGCCCGCGCGCGCCCGTCCTGGCCTCACACCGCCCGTGCGCCGCCCGTCCCTGCTGCACGCCGCCGTCCTGGCCCCCCACGCCGCCCGTTAGCCGCCGTGCAGCCTGAGCCGCCCGAGCCGTCTGCGCAGCTGAGGAGCCGAGCCGCCCGAGCCGCCTGTGCCGCTGACTGCCCGAGCTGCCCGAGCCGCCTGAGCCGCCCAAGCCGCCTCCCCCCCCCCCCCCCCTGAGGGGTGGCAGGTGTGTGGTCTCCCCTACTTCTCCTCCTCCTTCGTCTCGAGCCGCCCTGCAGCCGAGCCGCCTCGCCGCCGAGCCGCTTTACACCCGAGCCTCCCAGCAGCCGAGCCGCCGTGCAGCCGAGCCGCTCTTCACCCGAGCCTCCCAGCAGCCGAGCCGCCCTACAGCCGCGCCGCCGGGGCGCCGAGCTGCCGAGCTGCAGTTGCTGCCGAGCCGCCCTGCCGCCGAGCCGCCCGAGTCGCCCGAGCCGCAGAGCCGCCGTGCTGCCGAGCCTCTGAGTCGCCGAGCCTACTCTACCCACCACTGGTGAGCCCCTGCCCTGCTAGCACGCTGCGCGTCGCCTGCTTGCCTGCCTGCCTCCCTTTTTGGCTTGCCGGGCTGCCTGCCTTACTGCTGCTACTCATGCTCCTGCCTCTACTGGTGGAGCCAGATGCGGCCCCATCGACGTCTGCGTGAGTCCCTCACGCCCCAGCAGCTGCGTGAGTGGTACGCTGGTTGGGGCTGTAGGGGTGGTGGCGCTACTACTGCTACCACTCCTGCTGCTTCTACTACTGGTGGCGGCCAGATGCAGCTCCCGCGACCCCCCCGCGCGTCTCTCACGCCTCAGCAGCTTCGTGAGTGGTACGCTCAGAGTGGAGGGTCTCTCAGTTCTATTCGCTGCTCTTATGTGATTCTCACTGGTGCTCGGACTGGTCAGCCTTGTGGGACACCTAGTCATACACAGTCCCGCTGCTTCGCCCGTCTGAGCGACGCCTGGCGTACCGTGTTTGGCGACGAGGCTGAGCTCCCCGACTGGGTGGAGTTGCTTAGGCAGAGGGTAGATATATTTGCTCTTGACTATGATGCTATTCTCACTGCCATGTATGCATTGCCTACTAGTGCTGACCGTACCGGTCACCTGTGCGTACCGCCTGACCCGGCTATAGGACCTGCTGCTCTAGCTACTGGTGGGGCTGCTGCTGCTCTGGGTGCTAGTGAGTCTCCTGCTCCATGTACAGGTGCGGCTGCTGCTCTAGGTGCTAGTGAGAATGCTTCCTCAGGTGCGGGTGAGGCTGCGCTCTCAGGTACCACGTTGGCTTCGGCCTCCCTCACCTTTACACTAGACTCAGGTGCTTCTCGCTCCTTCTTTCGGGACCGCACCACACTCACGCCGCTTGGTCGGCCTGTTGCAGTCTCCCTGGCTGACCCCTCTGGGGGTCCTGTCCTCTCTCACTTTTCCACTGTCCTCCCGTGTCCGGCTGCCCCCTCGAGCACCCTGTCTGGCCTCTACCTCCCCTCGTTCTCGACGAACTTGGTGAGTGGTGCAGACCTGCAGGATGCGGGGGTTCACCAGTTCACTCCTGCGAGTCAGCGGGTGACCCACTGCTCGGATGCCCGCACAGGCCGACACCTGGCCACGTTTTCACGCAGGACGGGGTCGAGTCTCTACACCCTGACCACTGCGTCTCCTCCTATCTCTGCGTCTGGCCAGGTAGCTGTGTCAGGTCAGGTGTTTGCTGCTGCGTCCAGGTCTGGTCCTGAGTCTGCCCCCTGCTCGTGTCGCCTCCTGTCTCACGAGACTCTCCTGTGGCACCACCGTCTTGGGCACCCGTCCCTGCCTCGTCTTCGGGGCATGGCCTCCCGTGTCCTGGTCTCTGGTCTCCCCCAGTCCCTCCCTCCCCTTCCTTCGGGGCCTGGTCCTTCCTGTGTCCCCTGTGTCGAGGGTCGGCTCCGG